ATGGCTCCCCAGGCCTTGGGAAATCTGGGCATGTTAGCCAAAGTGGGCAGCCAGTTTGGTGATGTTTCAGTAGGTGCTGTGTGACTGTGTGGTAATAACCTCTGGCATGTTGAGGAATCAACTTTTAGGGTGAATTATTCATGTTCTGTAGCAGTTCTGGAGGAGACAGAGATGCACTGTTCCTCTGAGACACTAGTTCCACTTTGGGACTTGGAATGTGAACCTGCCTTGCTGAATTTGGGTTTTGCAAGGTCTTTCAAGGTTTCCAGATTTGTTAATATTTTGTTTCTTCCCCGAATTTTCTGAAATAAAAGCTTTAATTATTTTTTCCCCTTTTTCTTTTTCCCCCCCTGAGTACTGGCAGCTGTTTGGGGTTGGTCTGAGGTTTTTGTTGTTGTTATTTTTGTGGGGTTTTCTGATTCTGAAGTGCTAAAAGGAAGCAGTGAGGGACCTGTGAACTGCCTCACTGCTTCTCTGAAGGCAGGTTGCTGGAAGGCTGTGCTGGCTGATTAGGGGCTGTTCCATGGAGATCTGCTGTGCCTGGTTTTTCCTGCTGTTTTGTGTGAATGAGGCTGCAGCATGAAGGAATGTGGCCAGAACTTTGGAAGGACCCTAGAACTGACCTTTATTCTTTAGCCAGCAATTTTCCTGTGCTCTGTGCAGCCACGAGAAGGGTTTTTTTCACAATAGACTCTTGCAGATACATCAAGCAGAGCAGGAAAAGTGCACAAGGTTCTTCAGGAGGAAAAGCATTTCACCAAAAAGCACAGAAGCTCCTAAAATCTCCACACCAGTGACCCTTGGAGGAAGCTGCCTGGTTGAAATGGGACCTGTAATTCCATATTGAGCTATAGGTAATAATGAAGCATTTGTGAAATCAGGTTGCTAAGCTGCAGGTATTTTTAGCCTGTGTAATTATTATTTTACTTGCACACTGTATTGGAAATGGGAATCTGTGAGCTCTCTAAGCAGCCAGTGTGGCTCTTGCAAGATGAGCATTAAGTTGTGGACCTGATGCTTGTTTTGTGTGTACTTCACACTAATATATGGAAAAATGTCTGCTGAGCACAGCGACTGCTCCAGCTGGGAACTTGGCAGTCCTTCAGCACCAGAAGCAGCCAGTGACTCCCCCAGCACACTCTGCCCTGCTGGCCCTGCACGGCACAAGAGCTTTCAGGAAGTTTTTGGAGGAGCTGTACAATCCAGCAGTGTCCCCACCAGGTTTTGGCAAACCTGTCAGTAAGGTATTGCTTGCTGCTTTTCAGTGCTGATGTGCCTGGAAATTACAGACGTGGCAGATGATTCCCAGAAGGAAGACATCAAATTAATGAGAAGGAGTTGTATCCTTTCAATTGAGCCTATTTGGGTTTATGAATCTGTAATTATTATTTTATGCTTCTATAGGTTGTGCTTCAAAGCTGCCCTGGTAGGAGGTGGCAGCAGAGACTTGGCTTTCTGGACCACAGATCTGCACTCCCCAAGGAAAGTGGGAATTAACTCTTGGAGGAGCACATACACAGGAGGATACCAAAACATCCTTCCAGTTTCCAGCTGCCTGCTGGAGCTGTTTATGTTGTTAGTTAGGAACCCAGACATCAGACTGAGGATGGGGTTTGTTTGGGGAGGTTTTTTTTTATACAGAATAGCCTTGAAGCTTTAAATCTGAGACTTCTAATCCCTGTTGCCTGGTGGCACGTTGACATTTCATGATGTTGGCAGTGATCTGGCAAGGCCACGTGATCTCTTGGGCATCAAGACACTGTTCTGTGGTAATAATCAGCTATGGAGGCTGTGAGAAATAATTTTAATAACCTAACTTGCAGTTCCTGGTTCCACAGACCTTCTCCCTACCGTGCAGGTTATATGTCAGAGTGGGGAGAGGTGTTGGTACCTGAGCAGGAGCTTCTGCAGGCTAAATTAGGAACTGCCTGCCCACATACAGCCAGCCCTGCTGGGTGTGGGATGCTGTTCATGAGGAAGAGAGACCAGAGCAGCAAAGCAACTCCATTTGAAATCACTGCTTTACCTCAGTAGTAATATTGAGGTTTACTAGTAGGTTTTTTGGGTGGTTTCTGCAGGGAAATTGTTTCTGGTCGAGCGCTCCGAATAAAACAACCTTATGTGCCACTTTTGTAGGAGGATGTGTTATGCAAGACATTTTTGAGATTCAAGTGGTGTAATGGTCATGGAAACTAGTTTGTAGTAGTGTTGGGTGAGATCCATGTCAACCCAAAATACATGTGTCTGCAGGAGGCTGCCCACAGTGATTATATCCCCTGCAGAACACATCTGTGCTGCTCCTCCTCCAAGAGGTGCTCCAGTCCCCTAATCCTGCTCAGACCTTGTCCCAGGGGCTGAGCCAGACCCCGGGTGTGGTGGTGTAGGGGGTACACGTCTGGTGCCTGGCCCCACATCGAGGTGTGCCTGCACTGGTGGTGTGTTCTAAGCAGCTAGAATGCCTTTGCAGCAGTCCAAATATTAGCCTTGGCACCCAGTCAGTGTGTGTGTGTAAAGCAGTCTTTAAGAAGGTTGGAATTAACATCCAGAATATTTGGGTTTAAAGTCTCTCATTGAATCCATAGGTCAAGAAACAAAACGTGTTTATGCAGCTAATGGCTTTGGAGAGGGGGCACTGAGTGTGTTTAATCTTCTTAGGAAGTTGCTTAATTTTGGAGGGTTGCTCAGGTTTCCTATGGTGTTAAAGTAAAATATTTCTAAATGCTTTCCATACTCTTCCAAGCCCTGTTTATTCCCACTTTTCCTCCCTGCTTTCCCCAAGCTTGTGAAAGAAGTCATAGTCTCTTCTGCAGAAGAGTCTTCACGTGTAGGACCTGTACTCTGGTGTGTGTTGGAGTGGAGATGAATTTTGGGGCTGTGTTGTCACTCAGAGTAACCACTTAAGTGTCTTTAGAGAAGAAAGGCTGTTGGGCTGAGAGCAGTCAGTGAGTCTCTGTAGTGGGGAAGCTTTACCCAGAAATGCTGATGCTTTTGCCTGTTGTTTTTTAGTCCAGGCTGCTGTGGTGCCTCTCCCTGGGGCAGGAGGCTGTGGGGACACCGGGGACACCAACCACCTCTGGGGCTGGTTTAACCCCTTGGGCCGTGCTCCAGGTGCTCTGGGGACCTTTTGTTCTCTCCTGCTTTTGGAACCCCTGTTCCTGGTGCTGAGGCACCCCCAGCTCTGGGCTCAGCAGGGCTGGAAGGGCTGCTCAGGGCAGTGGTGGAGCTCCTTACAAGGACTCTCTTTGCTGAGCCAGTGCTGTGGTGTGTGGAGTGAACTGGCCTCTAATTTTCATGTTGCTTCTACCAGGCTGCATTTTAGCTAAAAATGGAAGCTTGTGGCCATGCAGATTTTATTTTTTTTTTTCAGAAGTAGTTTGCCTACTTTTTTTCTTAAATGAGCTCCATCTTTACCATAGAATTGCAAATCTCTGATTGCCAGGACTGCCTTCTGTGGGTATCACAGGGTGCTTTCAGCGTCCCCAGCTGAAAACTCAACTCTGTGGAAAAGTTTGCTGTTGTGCTTCCTTCCTCTCCTTACAGGCTGGCTAAAGTAGCTTTTTTGGGGGTTTGTTTTTTGTTTTTCTTTTTTTACAGAAGGCAGATGAAATCTGCAGCACCTCTCCTGCATTAATGAGGGTGCAGCACAGGACAGTAATGGTGTGTGGTTTGGCCTTTGCTGTTGTGTATTCTTATGTGCCAGCATAAATTTACTTGTTTACACTGCAGGTAGTCCTTTCAGAATTTCATTAGGTTCCATTGTCTCTGCAGGGTGGGCGAAGTTTGTTCTCTCAAGACTTCTGAAAGTTGCCCCAGTTGCTGTTTTTTCAGCACTTCAGCCTCGTCCTGTATTTGTGTCTGGGGGGGTGAGGTTCGGCTCTGAGCGGAGTTACTGTTTTCTGTTTAAAAACGTGTTGTTCTGGCAGTAACAAACAAACCTGCTTACACTGTGATGGTTTCATAATCACAGCATTAAACTGTTCATCTACAAATGAGCTTGGATGAGGATGATCCATATCCTAAGTAGCTTAACCTCCATTCCAGACACTGAAGTGAATTTTCCAGCTAATAGCAAGCTGTAAAATCCGAAATGCGAGAATTTCAGTTTGAAGGACGTGGAGCTGTAGGCTGGCTTTCTGATTTAAGGTTATTTTGCTTCAGTGCCTTCCTGCTTTGTGCTTGGAATAATGTCCCCCTGTCCTGACACAGTGGCTTTGAGCAGGAGCACTGGGGTGTGCCCTGCCATCCCCCCAGCCCTGTCCTGCTGCGTGACAGGGGCAGGTCCCCATGTTTCCATGTGGGAGTGGTTGTCAGTGTTTCAGATCTTGGGGGGGGAGCTGTAATAGTGCTTCGTGCTGCCAGAGGACAAAATTGTTCCAAAATCTCCTTTATTGACCTTGCTACAAAGCCCGTGTGTGTGTGTGTGTTAAACCATTTTGTGGGCCCAGACTGCAGGTGTGTGATTTCCTTAATGTGGCAATTTGTGCTTTCTCTGCTCTCTTGGAGCGTTGTGCTCTCACTGGAGCTCCTTAGTGGGAGGTTTATGTAACTTCTGATAAAATAGGTATCTTCATATTTAACTGTGCTCAGAAGGCAAATGCACCTCAGGAACAGGACTGAGCAGAAATAATTTCAGTGCTTGGCAAATGCTGTTTTTTGGGGGGGACGGAGCACTTTGTAGGGCAGTGAAAATCAGAGTCTTGTATGAGTGAGATAATGTTTTGTTACAGTCCTAAACTCTCTGCTGGCCTGGGCTTCTGTATGGCCAGGGGAAGGGAATTAATGGTCTGAGCACTGCAGGAGTTTTCTTGGGAGAAGAGTGTTAAAAGCTTCTCAACATGAGCGAGTCTTCTGGTTGTGTTTCCTTCCTGAAGACTGGCCAGCTGTTTGGGAGCTAACAGAATTAGCCTGGGCTTTGATAGGGTTTTAATTTCTGCTGAATTTGTCAGCAATCGTTCTTGATAATTGTATTAATTCTGGGTTTGGTGTGGTTTTTTTTGCAGAATTTACATGTTTGACAGCAGAAGTTGCCTTTCTACTGTAGTGAGAGAAAATGTAAGTACAGAAAGAAGGTAACAACTTTTTTTTTTTTTTTTTTTAAGTGCTTGAGAAACGTGCTCTTTTTAAAAAGTGACTAACTTCAGATTTTTGGCTGTTGGTCCGTGCAAGCCCAAAAAGTCCCTGTTTTCTCCCTTAGCATGTGTATCCTTATGTCAACAGGAAGGATTTTAAAATGACCAGGGAACCTGCTAAATAATAGATGTTACTGCCTACCTTCTGTCAGAGAGGGAGCTGGCACAGCAGAGGGAGACCACAGATGAAACTGTTTCATCTCAGTGGGGCAGGGAACTGTAATAAATAAAGTGATGAGAACAGTCATTCTCTCATGAATGAAAAATTACTTCTGCACCATGTTTGACAAAAGAAGGCCACATTTCTTTTGAGCAAAGTGGCTCTTGTCAGAATGTTCTTTTCAGCGTGTCAGTATTATTTCAACAGAACCTAAAAGTTTCAGAGTTTATATTCTGTGTAATTGTAATTATTACTAATGCTCTTGGAACAGTGAAATCTTCATTACCTCCCAGGCCATAACTTCAGTTTCTGTGGAGCTCCTCAGTCTGGGAGGAACGTTGCTAATTGGCCAAGCATTTGCTCAGTGAAATCTGTTTCAATTACTAGATATTTACCTGTTTTTCAAAAAACAGGCAGCAAGCTTTATTTCCCTACCCATACCTCCATCTGGAGGTGTGTGTGCTTCAGGATCTGAAGGCACCCTGAATTTTTTCCCTTCTATTTTGGATTATATAAACGTGACAGGCAACACCTCAAATCTGTTCCACAAGCAATTCTGATCTTACTGTATTTTCTCCCACTAAAAACGAAACACAAAATCAAAATATACCTCTGCAAACAAAACCCAGCCCTCAGCTTTCCTGAGCCACCGTGATGTGGAACCGCTGGCAGCGAGTTGTGTGTAATTCCTTTGTCATTGTGAAAATGCCCAAGCTGCTGCTGGGCCTGTTGCTAATAGGATTTGTGGTATCTCCTAGATTAGCACAGCTCCATTTAATCAGATGCCCTGCTCTGAGCTGTCTGCTGGCCGTGCCCTCAGCTGGGCACTGGGGCTCTGCTGCTGCACATGGGGTGGGTTTGGCTTTTCAGCCCCGTTGGGGTGTGATGTGTGTTGGCAGAGGAGAGGTGGAGGGAACAAACATCAGCCAGGCTGTTCACAGGAGAAAGGGGATTTGCTTAGGAAATTACTGTGCTTGGGTAATACACAAAAAATTAGCTTTAAACCCTCGGCGTTACCAGACTTTGCATCAGCAATGGCTTGGTGGGATTATGTTACTTTTTGGTAGTAGTGATGTGTGCTAAAAATATCTTGTGGCAAGCAAAGTTTGGCCATCAGGGGATAGAAGTTCTAAGCATTTGACTTAATGATAGCTTTGCTTTCAAATCTGTTTTTTCTTCTTTTAATCTGTAGAGATTATTCACAGGAGAAGGATGGAAGACTCTCTCTCCCTTTTTTACTCTTTTTGTATAGGAATGCTGTGAGAAAATGAAAGAAGCACAGCCTTATTTCTCTTATCAGGTAGTTCTAGAGAGGAATGATATTTAACCCAGGAATATATGTCTGAATTTATATGCTCTTCCCACTTCTTGAGCATCAGGCTGCAAATCAGTGTGACAGTATTAATGATACCTTGGGTTCAGTAACTGGGCCTAATTGGATAAGCAGCTTGAGCTGGGGGAAAGGACATTGGAGTTGTTACAATGAAATGAGGGAATTGGAGTTCTTCCTTAGCCTTGGAATTTTTGTCACTGTTTTCTGAGCAGTGAGCTTTACCTTTAAATAAGAATATTACCCCGGGCTCCTAAATATATCTCCATTTGCAGGAAATACATGGAAGTTCTGTAGATTCCAAAAGGCTTTTTGCAGTTCAGAAAGTTGGTGCAAAGTTGTTTGGACACTCAACTGACTGCCTGGGCTTCCATAACTCTCCCCTTACACAGGAAAATAGGTGGTGTAGGTTAGAGAGAAGCAAACCCAGAGCTGCTCCTTTGAGGTGAGTGATTTGAATAATCCCACGGAATGTAACAAATCATGCAAAGGCAGGGGTTGATTTTCCCGTGTAGGAAGCAGAGGAACAAAGTGACTCTTCCCTGGGTAACCTGTGAAAAGGGATTAGAGCCTTGGGGCACTTGGAGCAGGAGGAACAGGGAACTGCCTCCCAAGTGCCCAGATTGTTATCCCAGCAAGAAGAGAATTACCTACAAGGTATAGGCTGGTCAACAGGATTAGGGGAATTAGGCTTAGAGCAGAGACACTTAAGCACTTCAGCCTCTGGAAAGGTCTCCAGTGAGTTGGGGAAAGTGAGTGTGTTATTGCTGAGCAGCTGCCTTCAGGAACACACCAACACAGTCAAAAAGAGGGAGGTAAGCATGGGTTTGGCTGCTGCCTGTTTCTTTGAGAAAAAGGGCTGTGGAACTGGAGGAGGGACTTTTTTTGTGAGGTTGGTTTGATTGAGAAGCTCAGTAATTTCTTTCAAAACTCCAGGAGTAGAATCATCATCCATAGGTTCTTCTAGAAACCTTCTTTTAAGGTTAAATGCCTTTACAATATGCCAAGAAACAAAAATCTGTTACTTCATGATAATTGATTGTGTTTGTTTGCAATGAGCAGAGAAGTAAGAGCAGAGACTATTTAATATATGATCTCTATCTGTAATGGGAATAAATCTATGGAAAAACTTCCTATGTACCAGGAGTGAGAAGAGACAAAAGTATTTTGTGTTCCCATACAATTCCCTGACCTTACCTGTTGTCCTTGGTCTTTTAAAGTTATTTTTTTTCAATACAGGATACTGGTAAGCTCTGATTTACAGCATAGCTAAAAAGGACACAGGAGGATGCAGCCCTTTTTTTTTTTCCCCATAGAACTCATATTTCTACCATAAATTTAATTGTCTAAGGCTGAGTATAAAAGAAATAGAAGAACAGCCAAGCTGGTTTGCTGTTTGTCCCATAAATTTTGCAGTCTTCTTCAGAGAACTCCCTATATTTTAATGCCCTTGGCTGGGTTAGGATTTTCATTTCCTGAGTGTGAGTGAGTTCAGTCATGTTGGCAGGAATTAGAACTTCCTGTTGATGTTGAAACAACAAAGACTACAAAGGGAATGTGGAAATCTGGTTTAAACAATTCCTATGGATGCTGACAGAAAGGCAGCTCAGAGGTTTTGGAGTTGCTTGGAATGCAGAGGGGCTGACTGGGAACTCTGAAAGTGTATCCAGCTCCAGGATAGGAACTTGCATGGATGTGTGGTGTTGCAGATGGGAAAGCCACGGAGGGGGTGTGTGTTCAGCTCCTGGTTGTCACACAGAGAATTGGGACGAGCAGGGGACTGAGGGGCAGGATCCACAGGAGCTGCTGTAACAAGAGCAGTTGTTGAATTCCTTGAACTCTCTGCTGCCTGGGATGATGGAACTGGTTCTGCACGGAGCTGGGAAGCTTTCTGGGGTGTTGCTGCACCAGTCTGGGGCTGCTCACTAAAAAGATGTTTTCCTTCAAACTCACTGGAGTTCCCAGTCAGGCATTTTTGGGAGCTCAGCTGCACAGGAGGTGTGCAGGCTGTGCCAAGCAGTAAGGCACAAGCATGAAATGATCTTGTATGATTTGTTTTAAGCTCTCTTCTGCCTAAATAATCCAGAATGCAACTACAGGGCTCAGTTTCTGAAGTGAACTTTCTTAATATGGGTTTTTTTCCCCAGGATAAGGGTTCATCTCCCAAGGCCTCTCCCTGTTCCATGCAAGGAAGCTTTGTTGCATTTAAATGCAAGAGAATTCTATTACATAGTGCACAAAACCTGCAGAAATAAATTGGCACTATTTTAAGGAGAGTGTGTCTGCTTTGACTGACATGAGATTATTCCTCCTATTGTGTTTTTAAATAAAACTGCTTGTAAAAATCTTCAGTGAAGTTCCCTGTACCTGCAGCTGGAATTCTGGTGTCCTGGATCTTTCTCATGATCCCATCAGTGAATTGCTGTGACCTTGAGCAGAGCACTTAAGTCTTGGATTGTAATTTCTTGCTCTGAAATAGGAATGATACCATCTCTGAATTCTTTGTCTGGGAAGGTCAGTATTTGCTTAGTAGGAAATGGGCTTATATATTAACCTGGAGAATGGCAGAAGTAGAACTGGATATCCAAAAGCTGAAATATCTGAGAAAATGCAGTTTATTCTTGAAAACTATTTAGAGTTTCTTTATGACAAGAGCAGTGCATTCCTGTTCCACCAGGTGTGTGAACTGCACAGGAGCTGCAGGTGTGCTGAAAGGGTGGAGAGACCCACGGGGGGTTTGTGGGAGGTGTAGCATGAACAAAACATCTTGAGGAACAAAAGAGCATTCAAAAGAGAAGGAGGATAATAAAACACCCGGGATGGGCTTTGTCTTAACTGGATTTTGGACTGAGCTGAACAAGCAGTCTCAAAGGGGCTTAGGGATGACCCTGGAACCAGAAGAGAGAAAGAAGAGACCTAATTTCACAGGGGAGTGAAAGGGCCTTGAAGTTGTGTGAGGGGAGGTTTCGGGAGAGAAGCCAAGTAAAATTCCTTCTCTAAAATGTTGTTGGCTTCAGAGAATAGTATAAAACTTGTAAATGATGCTGTGACAAGATCTGGCATTTGTTCCTTGAGATCCTCAGTTTGGAATAACAACTGATACGGAGAGAGATGAGTCTGGTTATGGGGGATGGCAATATTTAGGCACTGCTGAAGTCTTAACTATTTTGAAACTTTTTCTGGCAGTGGTGTTTGTTCCACTGCTCTAATTTGCCTTGACAGTATGTTCTCTGTTACTGTGACAGGATAAAAACTTGGAAGTTATCCTCATCTTTCTCCTTGGGAAGGGCTTTAGGAGGAAAACAAAACCCGCATGCTTGCAAAGATAACTAAGCTGATTAAATCTTAACAGAATAATATGGAAAGCTGCTAGCAAAGCATTTGCTTTATTTTAATAGTAAAGGGTCAATTCTGGCTAATAAAATGTTCTAAAAAACAACAGTGCCCATGTTTATTTATAAACAGGTGCTCCGTGTAGTGTTTGAAATTGGAACCAGTCATCCTGTGCTGTAATAAAAGATAAACTTGATCAGCACGTTTCTTCAGCATCTTCTGCTGCTGTCAAGCTGCACAGATTTTAAAACAAAAAGTTTCAGAGCAGCTGAGTTTGAGACGTGGAATGCCAGGGAAAATGCCAGCGATGTCTTTGTGGAGCAGAGACTTTTCAGGAGAAGCTGAGTGCTCAGGGGGAAATATCTGTGTGGTTGTAGTGCTGGGAGACAATCCAGTGGCTGAGAAACTCTGAGGATGGTTCAGGGGCAGTGATGGTTTGTAGAGCCTGGCTGGCTGGCAGACAGGGAGAGATGTGAGGAACCTGCTGCTGATGGACACCAGGAAAACAGAGTCTTAGAGGGGAGGAATGTCTGTGGGAGATGATTTCTCAAACTCCTCCCCTCACCCTAACATTCAAAAAAACCCCTGTTTTTTTCTCTGGCAACATGTTTTCTCTGACATCCATTCTGGATGTCTCAGGGACTTTCCAGCAGTTATCAAGTGAAATCCTGAGCGGTGTTTGTGCCTGATCTCCTTTTATCCAGGTATCAGAACAACATTTTTCATAACCACCGTGTTACAGACAGGGTTTGTAATGCTTTTTATGGTATTTTGCAAGTGCTGTAAATACTTTTGAGGTGCTTATTCTTTACTAGGAGGATTCCTTACTCTGATCTGAAGACCTACAGGGAAGGTCTGACTTTCCTGTCTGATGTTGGTGTTATCTGCTCGTTCCCTCTGGAGAAACTTGAGTTTGTACAAAACTGAATCAGAAACACACTAATGCAAAAAGAAGAAAAAGAGGGGCTGGAGGAAGGAAATAAGTCCAAATTATGTTTTGTTCCCTGTGACTGGGAGCTGAGCACATTTGGGATGGTCACACACCGAGGGGATTTCAGAGATGTATTTTCACCTGGATTCCAGGTGAAATCAAAGTGCTGTTTGAAATGACTTGTCTGCTCCTGTAATATCAAATTATGGCTTCTGCTAATTGTGCTGATTGCCTCCTGTCTTTCAGCTTTCTGGCTGTTCCCGAGGTGGCAGTGGAGCACACCTTTAGCACAGGAAAATGAGTGAGCTGGACCAGTTACGCCAGGAGGCCGAGCAACTGAAAAACCAAATCAGAGTATGTATTGTGTCCTCAGCACTAATGAAGGGTCATTTTGTGTCCTCAGGGGGCCAGAGATGGACAGAGATGATGCATTAAGTGCGTCCAGAGTGTCAGAATTAATGCAGGAAGGGACAAGCTCATGTAACTGCTTTAGAAAATTACTTTTTGGTCTTGGATATGGCTTGGAAAATAATAGCTACGTAAACAATGCACAGAATTGCTTAGATCAATAGGGATGTTTGCTGAAGATTTTCTGAGCCAGACCATGACTAATGTTAAGAAACCTGCTGCTTAAAATAAGGTCAGTGATAAGGTTAGTCAGGGCTTTGTCCAGTTAGGTCTTGAAAACCTCCAAGGCTAGAGACTGCAGAGCCTACCTGGACAAGCAGTTCCGTGGCTTGGCTGCCTTTGTGGTGAAAATCCTGTCACCTTTCTCCCAAAAGAAGAAGAGGTTTCAAAGTCAAGTGCTCGGTGTGTTGTGACAGCAGGCAGTGCATTATGTTAATGCTGCAGGGTCCTCTCTGGGTGACAGGCAGAAATGCTTTCTGAACCTTGCTTTGAGGGGGGTTCATCAGTTTGACAGAGATGAATAAATGTACAGAACTTCCTCCAATTTCTCTCATTTCCTTCTCTTGCAGGATGCTAGGAAAGCATGTGCAGATGCCACCCTGGCTCAGGTAAGCATTTCAGAGTTCAGCAGCAATTAGGAAGATTTGTCTCCTTTACAAAAGGAAAGTATGGTTTAAGAAGGTAAATGCAAGGGAATCCTTTTCTTGCCTCCTTTAGCAAATTTTTTTATTTTGCCCTTGGGTGTTTTCTTCCAGAAATAAGTACGTGTTTGTCCAGTTTCTGAGAGCAGTGGCCTTGAGCAGTGGTTTCTCTGAGTGACTCAGGGCACACTGCTGCTGCTTAATGGAAAATAATGCTCTGCTGTGGATGTGGCAGCAGTGCTGTTGTGTTAACCCTGATAATCTGAACCATGGGGCCTGCTGAGGTTAAATGTCTGCCACATTTATCTGTACAGGGGTATAAAACCCGGATCAAAGGTCTGAAATCCTAGAAGTCTAAGAAGATTCGACCTCAGCAGAGTAATTTCTGGGAGTGTGTAAATGCAGCGGGGCCGCTTTGTCCGTGTGACAGAATGACATAACTTTGGATTGGGCAGTTTTTAAAGAGCTCAGTTGATGTTGAGAGTGTGGGACTTTGGTCTGCACTGGGCTGCTGGTTTAGGTGTAACTGTGTGAGGTGATGCCTGTGGAGCAGGGGACATGCAGTGAGTGCCCCCGTTGCTGTTTCAGATCACAGCCAACATCGACCCCGTGGGGAGGATTCAGATGCGCACCAGGAGAACGCTGCGGGGACACCTGGCCAAAATTTATGCAATGCACTGGGGGACTGATTCCAGGTGGGTGCTGGGGGTACAGATCAGCTCGTGGGGCTTCACTGTTCCTTGGGAAGTTGAGTGCCCAGGACTTGGTACCACTGGGAATCACCAGTTCTAAGAGAACTCGGACGGCCGAGAGAATTCAGGAGCACTGAGTGCCACAGTTTTCCTCTTGATGTCCATGTTTTTGTAACCCAAATCAAAATTCAGAGCCAAAGTACCACTCCTTGTCTGCTTGCCTGAAAAACATAGTTATGGTACCACATGAGTTCTGAGGAACTGTGGAAATAGAGTAGATTCCATTATCAGTTGTCTTTTTTCCTGGCAACTGCTGCTGTTCACTCAGACTCGATGGCACTGGTATCAGCTGCCTTCATCCTCTTCCCCTTACAATGTTCATCACAAAGGTGTTCCTCCTTGTCTGCCCACAGTGATCGTGTTTCCCTCCTGTTTCCTCTCTAGGCTTCTAGTTAGTGCCTCCCAGGATGGCAAACTTATAATTTGGGACAGCTATACTACAAACAAGGTAAGGCCAGCTGATACGTTGCCGTGTAATTCATTTGTAAATGCAAAAAAAAAGAAAGTGTTACCTGTCATGATCTTGGCTGTGTTGCTTTCCCAGCCCCAAGTCCAGATTTTGAATTCTCCAAAGCAAACAGATTTCCACGTAAAGAGCAGAGCAGTGCCCTCAGTGCAGTGTGGTGTGGAACTGTGCACCACAGCTGGAGAACAGGGAAAGACTGAATTCCAGAGAAAGTTTGGATGTGTTTTGATGCTGCAGATAAAGTGGTTAACAGAGTGCAAGCAGTAATGAGCAGGTTGCACCAGAGGGGTCAGAGATTTAGGCATAGCCCTAATAATTTGTTGTCTGCAGTCCAGTGCTGCGAGACCTGCCATCCCCAGTGAGTCATCACTCTGTGTGTGCAGTCACATGATGCACTTCAGGGTTACTTTTACTTTTATTTGACTGTGGTTGGTGTTTACCAGGGCTGGCAACAGTTCTCCTCACCCCTTGGAGTTGGGCTGACAGAGCTGCTGCCCCAGTCTGTGCTGCACAGGACCGTGGGTCTGGCTTTATTTCAAATGCATTTTCATAGCATTAAAACCAATTTTGCCAAGGCACTGGAGCAAATGATGTGCTACAGAGGAGAGAGAAGCAAACAACTGCAGCAGCAGCTCCTAAGACTGGGATTATTGTTGAACCCCAGCTGTAAAACTAATGAATCCATAACTTCAGTAAAGAGTAATAATGTAGTTTGCAAATTAAAAATAAACCCTCTCCCTTTGCCTTCATCCTCCTCCTCTGGCCTCAGCCTGCATCTAAATTACTGTACCAACTAAAAGATGGTAAAATAATCACTGTATACCATGATTTCTGTATTAGTATCTTCAGTTCTTGTATCTGTGCTCATTAATCCATGCAATATTTTTGGCAGTTCCAGCACACACTGGAAGTAACACAGTGTTGTCATAAATATGATCATTCCCTAATGATAAAATAAAATGGCTCAAGGTGAATATTCCAACCAATTCCTTGGTAGAAGAATTCCAAAAATGAACTGGTTGTGGTTTTAGTACAGGGGATGGGATTTTTTTAACTGCTGATTGTTGCAGGTTCACTGATCCCTGTCTGTTCCTCTGCTGCTACAGAAATCTCTACTTAAAGAATTCAGGAAGATTGTTAATATTGCAGGAAGTACCACCATATTTTTAAGGGTTATCAGCCCTTTCTTAAAGCGAGTTTGAGGGATGAACACAGTGAGTTAACAAGACAGAACAGGTTTAGCTTCCATAATTATCTAAAAAAAGTTCTTTGAGCACAGAATGACAAGGAAACATGGAGTAGTTATTTAACTATGAAGCTTGATTGCCTGCAGTGGGTTTCCAAAGCAGGATTTAAATGGCAGTGGAAGCAGCGATTTCCTTGCTTGTTCATTCACAGCAGCTCAGCCTGGAATTGGCACTTCTGCTGACTGTGCTTGGAAGTCAATATTTTCCTGAACCTATAATAAACCAATAGTAATCAGGGCGCTGAAATGAAATAATTTTACTTTTTACCAAAATCGCTGATCAGCCTGGATCCAGGGAAGGCAGATCTGAGGTTTGATTACGTCATCACTCGGTCTGACGGGCGATAGCTGCAAGTTTTACCCTCAGAATAGTTCTGATGCTCCAGCAGCTTGCCCTTCTGCCAAAAAGAGAAGGGTGTGTTGAGGGACAGGTGAGAACCTCCCTGCTGGGTTGTGGATGACTCCTGGGGGTGTGTTCCAGGTGCACGCCATCCCCCTGCGCTCCTCCTGGGTCATGACCTGTGCATACGCTCCCTCTGGCAACTACGTGGCTTGTGGTGGGCTGGACAACATCTGCTCCATCTATAACTTGAAAACTCGTGAAGGGAATGTACGTGTGAGCCGGGAGCTCGCCGGGCACACAGGTGAGTGCTGCTCAGGGGGCTCCAGCTTACCTGGGGAAATTAAAAAAAAACCTCTCTCAAATCCAGTTTACCAGTTAAAAAGACACACTTCCTTCCTCAGGCAGGACCTCAGCTGCAGACTGCCTGGGTTTTAAATGTTTTTAAACCGTTTTCCTGCTGCAGAATTGAACAAACCCCACAGCTGGAAGCTGATGCTTGCAGGTTTTCCTGTTTTGCTGTGGTTGGGATTTTCAGGAGATGTTTGTGCTGTGTGAAGTGGAGGTGGCTGGCGCTGATTTTTGTCATTGATGGCTGGGCAGGTGGGACTGGAGTACAAAGATGCTTCAGAGCATTCAGATGAAGTTCTTTGATGCCACTGTAGGCAAACATCCAACGTCCATGCTCTGGCCTTTGTGCTGACCAGGAATGTAGTTTAATTTCCCCCAGTAGTTGCATGACACAGTTGAGGTTTATCAGCATTTGTTGCTCCTGGTGCAGTGACACCCTTGCAGGCTCAGTTCCTTAGTTTCCTTTGTGCAGGCTCAGCTGCCCCTCTCCCCAGCTTGGCCAGTGGATTCCACCCCTCTGTCCTCCTTCCCCTGGCTGGGCTGGGTGTGATCTGTGAAGAACCAAACCACATTTTGTCCAGAACACTGGAGGTTCCAACACAAACATTGCCTGTTGCATTCTGGGCTTCAGGAGAGGAGGGAGCAGCACATAATCCAGCCAGTTTGCAACATGGAGAGTAATCCCTGGCCTTCTCTGTGCCCCTTTTATTCTGTTCCCAGGCTACTTGTCCTGCTGTCGTTTCCTGGATGATAATCAAATCGTCACCAGCTCTGGTGACACCACTTGGTGAGTGTGACATTTGGATGTGATTTCACTGCAGTTAACGTGCTATTGCAATGTTATTTTTTTTTTTAATGCAACTGTTTGGCTTTCAGAACTGAGTCTGTTAAACTTAACAGCTTTCCTCACGCTCTTTTTGTATTCAGTATTTGTTACTTCAGAAGTCATATTTGGATTTTTCTAATGCAGAATTTGGTTTCTTGTTGTTCAGAAGAGCTCCTAGAAAATATTCTACAGTGACAGTAGCTGGGGTTTCTGAGGAGAATGTAGGTGTATGTCTTCATAAATACTGGCTTCTGAACTATAAAAGGCCTCCATCTTTTTTCATAGGTGTCTTTATTATATCTAATTCTTAAAAGCATTGCAGTTCTCCCAGGCAGCAGCTCTTAAAGCCAGGGTTGTCTAATAAATACCTCTCCTACACAGTGTCAGTCTCTTTGAATGCCTAATGTGTATTAGTTCACTGATTCTGAGTATGGAATATATATGGGGTTAAAATATGTTTCTAAATATGTGTTGGTGTTCAAAAAAAAACCCCAAAACCACAACCAACCAAACAAAAAAAAGGCAAACCAAAAAGGCTTTGTTGAAATTACACTCTTTAAAAGTGAAAGCAGCTGCTTCAGGAGTTATCATTGTAATTCTAGAGTTGCCTGGATAACAGTTTGTCCTTGACATCACTTGAATTCAGCCCAGCTTCAAAGCACAGTATCAGAGCAGAGTCAGCTCTTGTTTGCCTGGTGCAAACCTGCCACTGATGGGTCTGGTTTACTGAGAAATTACAGAAATTAAAAAGCCTGACTCTTCTTAAGGGCTTGGGCCTCCTGTAAGGAGGTGGTAGTGTTGTTTCATCCCTTTATGCTCTTTAATTATCGCTGTAGTGGTGATTTTGCTGACTTGCAACTTTAAGATCAGACATAATTCACAGAATTACACATCCTCAGTGGGTCTTTAAAAATGAGAAATACTGACTCAGCTCTTGCTGTAACCTTACCACTGCTGATTTATATGAAGCTGTGGTAGTACCGGACAAGTCATTGCATGGCACAAGAATTCTGTGTATGAACAGTGGTGAGTGTCAGTCTTTAGTTTTTTGCGCTGTTTTTTAATTTAAACCCCCCAATATTATAAAACTGAATATGGCTTTAAGGTCTTCTATGCACAGTTATCCTGGAACAGCCAAATAGTTCAACAAAAAAGTGTTTATTTCTGCAGTCAGCATCAATCCTGTTGGTGCTTTAGGGAGTTCTGCTTCAGCACTGATGCAGATGAACAGGTTCAGAGAAGGATTCCTGTCTCACCTTGACGGAGCACAGACGTGTTGACTTTTGCCTTTTGAACCCTTCTTTGCAGCGCTCTCTGGGACATAGAAACTGGTCAGCAGACAACCACATTTACTGGGCACACTGGAGACGTGATGAGCTTGTCCCTCGCTCCCGACGCCCGGTGTTTCGTTTCTGGTGCCTGCGACGCCTCTGCCAAACTGTGGGACGTGAGAGAAGGAATGTGCCGGCAAACCTTCACCGGCCACGAGTCGGACATCAACGCCATCTGTGTGCGTGCCACCGACCACCTGGGGGGGATCTCAGCTCCTGAGCCTGTGCTCTGGGGGGTGGGGTTCCCAGGTTTTCCTAAACA